AAATGGTTCGAGGCTGGTAATGGGGAAGTTCCAAGCTCCAGCTGAGGGAAACTACAACTTGAGCTCTTTCTGCTTATGCGACTCCTGGATTGGTTGTGATGCAAAGTCAAATATAAAGTTAAAGGTAATGAAACGCAGCAGAGCTGGAACCAGAGGCGGTCTCACAGCAGATGAGACTCCTGTCATGGAGGATGGAATTGAGGAGGACGAGGAAGAAGAAGAAGATGATTATGATGATTATGAAAGTGAATACAGCGAAGATGAAGAAGATACAAAGGAAACAAAGAGTAAAGGAGCGGTGGCCAATGGCTCGACCCACAATAAGGGCAGTGGTTCAAGCTCTGATGAGTCTGGTTCAGAGGCCGATTAAGTCTCTTTCTTGGCTACTAGTTGTTTGCTCTCCTATTTCCCCTGCTTCCATAATGTTCCAAAGTTTTCGGGGAAGAGAAAAAGAAACCTGTGAGAAGACGTCCTCTCGCTCCATTTGTTTGGGAAGCTGGGGTGGGGGAGGGGCAGGTAAGAAGAGAATTCAATCGATCTTTTTTTTCTGTTATATGACTTACATCTCAGGCAAATTACTCCGGGCTTTATCTTTCTATAGTGGTATACTTAGAACCGTTAGTGTTGTAATTTGACATGAATAAAACATTTATAGGGCGTTCTTCAGAGCTTGAATGGTTAAGTCCTTTTTTGTCCAACTAGACAGTTCTTGTCGTTTTACTGTTGATACATGACACAAGTCCTGATGATGAGATCCCCTTGCCTCCATCCGATCCAGGTCTCCTGTTGTCAGGAATGTTTTCAAAGAGAAGTTTGCAAAGCCTAGTCTCCTTTGAGCTGGCTTGGCTCGGGCGAATGTTCACGTTTGCTTTCTTTGTAATGCAATTCTTTTCATCCCCGCCAGAAAAAGAATTGCCATCAGCGTTTTGCCACGCATTTATGTGTCAATTGAAGGCATTCTACAGCCTCAGTTCGCGTTAAAGTAGAGATACTGTAAGTGTGTTTTGAAGTCGAAGTAGTAAATTGCCTGGAATTCATACCTTAGATTTGATAGCACGAGGTTGCAGTATAGCGGTGCATATCTCTGGTGAAGCAATTACTGTGGCTTTCAGTCCAATATCTCAGAAAGGGAAAAAAAAAACATTTTAGCAGTCGTTTTATAGCTCGAAATTTTGGTTTACTTGGAAATACCAATTGAACGAACTTCAGGTCTGTTTATCCACTGTTATTTAAGAACTAGGAATTTGATAAATCCTGGGCCTTTGTATGAGATATTTTCTTTTCATTTTTTACTTCAAGTTTTTTTATTGTTAGTTGGATAGGATATGTTGAATGGGGTGTGTGTGTGT